ATTCTTCACATAAAATAAAAAATGTATATCTTTGTTTGAAGCCTGAAATGTGGCAAAAGGTTGAAAAGTTCAAGGGGGCCGAATACTTTCGCAAGGCACTGTAGGTGTTTATATGACATATCATTTCAATGTTTCAGACAATGTAGGGAATCTAAATCTAATGGGAATATAGGGATCCTAAACAAAATGTTAAGTTATATATTTAAAATCTTAAAAGTTAATTAATATTGTTATGCAAAAACAATATAATGCTTGAATAGTCATAATCATCCTAATGTCATTTAGAATAACAATGTTATAGAAAAGCGATTTCTGCTCTGAAATCGGTTTAGAGAAAAACAACCAGATAAATTCTTATCTGATTCATTTCTGAAAAATGAACTGATTCATTTTTGTCTTGAACAAAGTCAGCCCTGCAGATCTCTTCAGAATGAACAGTGAAATATGACCCAGATTACTCCCCTAGAATGTAAGTGGAAGGGCTTTAAAAAACGAGAACAGAGGAGCATGGAGTATAGAACAAGCTACCTTGCCATGTTGTTGAAATTCCCTGACTTGGTCAGGAATTGACTAAATGAGATCCTGGGATATAAAACCTTTATATTTCAAGCATGAATCAGGACTAGCACCTATCAACACGTTTTTGTGGGACCAGTTGAACTGTGCTGGGCAGAGTGGCGTAGTCAGTTCTGCTTCCCAAAAGGGCAGTGCTAATACAATATGATGAGGATTTTAATCTGCTTCCTTTAATGCAAAAAGTGTGTTTTTAGTGTTGGAGTGCCAAAAATGAACAACAGAATATGGAATGAATTGTAAGATATATTTTGGGTTGCACAAAAGAGAATCCTTTCATGATAACACGTCTTGGCAATTAAATTTCTAAATAAACCAAAGTAAAAAAGGATTTTACGAACTGATCCTGTTTTTTAGCACAGACCTGAGTCTGTATACTGATTCTCTGTTGCTGTTCCTCCAGAAGTGTTTTACCAGGCTATTTAACTAGAAAGTAACCTCTACAGTTTGTCTGTGGGACATGAATACTACAGAATCCTCCTTAAACTGTAGCACATTCATGCTTTAGCTGATTCATTTTTTACGTATTTAAAGGTATTTTTGAAGATATTTTTACTTAGCTTCTTGATGTGAAAATGAAATACAGCTATGAAGGAAGCAGACCCCATACTCCTTTGAGGAATAGTTTAAAAACTTGAAAATTGATTTGTAAAATTTTTCAGATGTATCTTTTTATGTTGCATCTGACACATACAACTGTAGAAGGTGTAGAAACATTAAAATGTCAGAGTCCGGGTGTTGGTGAAAGAAGAGCTGTTTATTCGTATGCATACGGGAGATCATCTCTCCGAAAGATGTTGCTCAGCGCTTTTTATACACAGTAACAGATAAACTCCCTACTTTTAACATAGATTACTAATCCCTAAAACTAACCATTAGTTCTTAGTCAAGCTTGGATAACGGAAAACAACTCCTTATTGAGACTTTCGTTATTGCTTACATTTGCAAAACAAGACATTCTACTTCCCTTTTTACTATATTTAAGACATGAGCTGTACTATACCACTGACCTATTGGTGTCCCCTGGTATGCTTCCATTTGCCAATGTTCTAAGCACATAGAAAACTAAAAGATAAGCAGTTTGTTAGTTTTTATAAAATGTATAACATTCCCTCAAAGGCAACATCCCTTCATTTCTGTTTAAATTCTGAGCAATACATATTGTGACTTCAGTAAGTTCCCTTTAATCAAATTGTACTGAAGTCAGACCTATTAAGCGAACCTAGGAAATGTATGCCACAAAAAGGTAATTCTAACTACCTTACAATGTTTTCCTGCAAAAATATTATTGATTTTAGTTTCTGCCTTTAAATAAGCATAGTGAAAAGACAGCCCACTCAATTCTTCTTGTCTGTCTGATAGGCTTTTGGGAGGTAAATGGCTTTGGACTGCTGGGAATTTACAAGTCTGACTTGGATGCTGCTGGTGGGATGAACACCCTGGAATTTCGGGACCGCTGGGGCGGAGAAGATTGGGAGCTGCTGGACAGGTAAATGAGAATAAATATGTTATTCACATTACTAATGGGTTAAGTACAAGACACAATTGTAACACACTGTATATGATATACTTGAATTGACTATACTGTATTAATATACATTAACACTTAACTGTTATCTTTCCGCTGTTTTTTCTTATAGGATTTTACAAGCTGGACTTGAAGTTGAACGCATATACCTCAGGAATTTCTTACACCACTATCACTCCAAGCGTGGAATGTGGAACAGACGGCTCTTCAGGTCCACGTAGCGACGCCACTGAGGTGCCCTTGGCTTGTCTGGCTCAGGCACTTTAATTCTACTGGCTTTCTCTGGAATGCTGTCACTCCAGTAGTGAGAGGTGGGGTCAGAATGGAGGAACTCCTGGCCAAGTGTGTCAGGATCAGCCCAAGGTTACTTGCTCTTGGTCTTTGAGGTTTTCTTTCCAGGATGTCAGGAGATTAATTTATGAGACAGTAGTACATGAACAGGACTTGGATGTTTGGGGGAAATTATATTTAATATATTCCAAAAAAAGAATATATTATTACAGTATGTGACACTACTGAAAATAAACAAATGATTTTTATGTGAATGTTTTGATATTTGAAGAACTTTATTTTGCCTTTATAAGGGGGGGAGGCAAAGGTATTTTTTTATAACATTTTGTCTGGTTTGAGCGAACAATTGTGACTTTTTAGTCATTAAAATTAAATTCTATTTAAGATGGGCTGTTGATGTTGATGTGTATTCTATATAAAGAAGAAAAATGAAAGAATAATTTCTAAGAACTTAATCTGCAATTCTTTTCGAGTAGTATACTGTAGTTCTCTTTATCAGTAGGGAACTCTGTTCAGTGGGCTAAGAAGTGTGCAAAGATTAAAGAACACGTGACTATAAGAACTGTGGAGCAACTGGAGTAATAAAGCAAGTTAAAAGTACAATTTAGCTTAAGCAGGCAGGTTAGCTCTTCAGTAAAGCACAATAATTATTTAAATTGTAATTGCCTTCTGCAATTAAAAGGCTTTAATTTGTATGATCTAACTCTGAGATATCTTTTGGTTCAGTCCTATGTATTCAGTTTTCATGTTTCTGGGTTGGTTTCTAAATCTGTCTAGCAAAGCCTCTGAAGTGCCTAGTCAAGATTTATACATCCTTTCTTTAGCTTATATTTTTATTTTGGAAATCATCTCTGATATTGCCTAGTCCATTCAGAATAATCATGATGAACAATGATAATTGCCATGTATTCATCCTGTACAGTGCAGAGAAAATGTTTGTGAACTACTAATTATGGATTTTGCAATTTTGTACCATGATACCCTTGCTTAATCAAAACCAGCTAATGTCTGACCAACATAATGGCTAAAAAGTTTGATTCTGATCTTCAATCCAAAAAGTAGTGGGAACATGTCATGCCATAATTTAAAGTGATAACAAATCTGTGCTCTACAGAGAGAACTTTGCTGCCTCTCTCAGGTTCACCAAAGAGCACGTACTGTAGATGATTCTAACTGTCTGCTGGTGCAGAGTGGAAAGTGGGTCACACAGCAAGATAAAGATCCTAAACATACTCACAGATCTGCTACTGAATTGCTGATAAAGAAGAAATGTTGTTTTTTGGATTAGCTAAGTCAACATTTTGAAACCGAACCCTGTTGAAGTGATATGGCAGGCTCTAAATAAATAAGAGGTGTTCTTGTAAGAAAAATCCTGACAGATTAATAACTTGCAACAGTAAGGAAGAAGGGGCCAAAATTCCTTTGAAGCAAGAAATTGATCCTCTTTTAAAAGGGGCATCTAGTTGAAGTAATTGCCACTCATGGAGATGCCACCAGTTACTAAATGTAAGTGTTTACATGAAATATTTATTTGAAATATTTAGTCAGGTTGTTTTAATATGTTCTAAAGACTTTCATGAAGATGTAGTTATGTCTTACGTGTAAAATATTCAAGAAGATGATCCAATCTAGGAAGTTGACAAACAGTTTCTCAGCACTGTCTTTCTCTTTCATTATTTGAGCTGGTGATTCTTTTAGCATCAAGAGACACTACTGTAGGGAGCAATATTTTCTGCAAGTTATTTCCTGCAAGTTCTATTTGGAACAGACCTCTACAGTTCCTTACTTGACAGCGATATGTTTTCCATTTTAAAATATTTAACTAGAGGTCTCAGCTATGACGAGCTAGAAGGATTGAATGCTAGACAAAATGTAAATGAGCTGTTTTAAAAAAATGTAGTATTTTAACAAACACCATTTAAGCTTAGCAAAGGGAAAGGGAAAAGTTTGTGGTAACACAGATGAGCATGTTAATCATTAAAGACAACTCAGTCCTTTTAAAAAAAAATGCTTATAGTAAAGAAAATGATGTCTTTTGACAGTAATGATGCATTCCTTTAAATACCTGAGGTCTGGCAAACAGTCACTTCCATTTCCCACATTTGAAACAGGCTGAAATTCATAGGCAGACTTTCTACATATTCTGCATTTCTACATTTTAACATATTCTTCTTCAAACAAGCTAGTCTAGTTTTAGATTATCTGAAAAGCACTTAAGCCTTTTCGTTTTTCCTCTCTTATTACATTTTAGATCTGAAGCTCTGAAGGGCCTCCCAGGTGACTCAATCAGAGTGTAGGTAATGTTCTGAGAACAGGTTCAAGTGTGAGACGGCTCAATGGAAAGGGTGCGGTTAATTCCCTAGGGCTTTCTCACCTCTAAGGGACATTGCAACCCCTGTGGGCTCAAGAATGTCAGCAGGCATGTGGTGGTTTCTGTGAGGGATGCACCTCACCTCTGATATGGGACTTCGTTGCCTGTTTTGTGTTAAAAGTTCAATGACTCTTTGGGGGAGTCTGCCTAGACTTCCTAAGTCTCCTCTGAGTGAGGTTTCAGGGTTCTTAGGTCTGAGCTGAGATGAGAAAAACACATTCTAAATTGGGTGGGAGTAAAAGAAAATATATAATTTTGCAGTATTGGTACTTTTGGGGCCATCCGTACGCCAATATCACTATGATAATCAAGCAGAACCTGTTGTACTTTGTTGGAATACATCTCCCTTCATTTTTGTTTATCTATTTAAGCAATTCCTCTTAAAGACATCTCTTCCAAAGGAGTCTGCTATCACAAAGCTGTTTGTTCCTGGCAACAGCGGCTGGTACCTGATGACTATCTTGGGGGCAAAGGATGGAAGGCTGGATTTCACCCTGGAATACACACCAATGGAATACAATACCAGGCAAGCACACCAGAACAATTTGTAGACCCCAAATAACCCAGACCGGCAGACGGAAGGTGGGAGCGCCTGCAGAAAACCCAGAAGAACATTTGAAGAATGAACAAACTACAAACAGCAGGCCCTCCAGCCTGGAATTGAATTGAAAACCCATAAGCTCTGAGGCAGCAGCTCTCATTGCCCCTGCCACTGTGCCACCCTCCACTGGAATAATTATGGGCTATTTTATTTGGTGTTAAAATATGCTTTGATCTCTGTAAAAAAGTTCATTTCAACTTGTATTGCTGCATATACCGTACATTAAGCTGTTGGACAATAGTTCTTGAACAGTCTATATTAAGGATGGGGGGGAATCATCCTTATTGAATTTGTTCTCTCTGTGAAATTAGATTCAGTTCGTGAGATTTGTTTTCCAGACAAGTATTTATTTTTATAAAGTCATGTGATAATAAAATATCTGAATGTTTAATAATGGGGAAAAAAACAGATTAATCATTAATATTTAATCCAGCATGTGGAAGATCCAAGTAGTATTGTTAAAGGGACAGTGAACATTACATCAAGACTTCAAATATTAATAATAACCATTCTGTTGGTTTATTAGTATTAGTATTTTGGGTTCGCTTTAGAGCTGCTGTTTTCAAACCTGGGTACTGGGCAGTGGCTATCTCTTCTTTTTTGTTTTGCTTATAAACACAGGCTTTCTTTGTGGGGTATTTTAAATTTACCTTTGTGATTTTTAATTAATAGTAATCTGCCAGTATCACAACGCATTTCATTCGTTTGTGTTTTTTGAAATATAACCAGTTGAACCTCTGCAGGAGGAACAAAATAGTGTAATATGGAATGCACTTTAATTCCTGCCTGTGTTTCATGTCAGACCTTTTTTCAATCTTTAATCATCATTAATTTAAGATCATATTTAAGTTAAAAACAACTGGGTAATTTTTAGGAAAAGTGATAACTGTGGTGTCATCAGCGAACGTAATGTGGTTGCTGCTGTAAATGGCTGTACAGTCATAGGTGAACAAGGAGTACAGCCCAGTGCCACATGTTACCTTGGTCTTCTTGGGCAGTGGCACAATTGTGCTCTTCTTGAAGCACTCTGGTATGACCGGCAGGGATAGAAAGAAGTATCTATATACAGTTCAGGAGATAACTGGCCAAAACAGGTTATAAGAACATGAGGGGGGACACCATCTGGGCCAGCTGCTTTGTGGGATTTCAGTCTCATAAAGGCTCTACACATCTTATGTTTAAAGAGCTATAATACAACGTTCCCTAGTTCGGTGGGATTTTTTATATCAGGCTCTGTGTTCTGAGCCTCAAAGTGGGTGTAGAAGGTGTTCAGCTCATCTGGTAGTGATGCATCAGCAGAGGAAATACCGCTAGTGTTTACCACTGTGGTAAATGTTTGAGTAGTTCCTTGCCCATACCACATTTCTTTAGGTGCTGCAGAAAGTGAAGGTGCTGTTGTGCTTTTTTTCCTGTGACAGGCTTCCATGTGCAAGACCAAGCCAAGTCGTCATTCCTGGAATCTGAAGCAGCTGGCAGGTTCCACTGTTTTGCCCTTAGTACTGATTTGGGCGTGATTCCCTCTGGGTCTCCTGAAGTGCACAATTAATTATTTTGTTGTGTTGACATTCAGGGCCAGAATGGCATCACCTTTATAGTTCATGATTGCTGGCAAGCCTTGTCACATGGGCCTTGAGTCAGTACCCCCAACTATTTTTCTAATTTGTCTTTGTATTCCTGTTTTGCTGGCTTTCTATAGGTCACCTTGATTTTTTTGTACTGTCTCCATCTGCTTGAAAGGAAGCAGATAGCGCTTTTAAGTTTACTGCAGATATCTTTGTTCACTGTCCACTGTTTCTGATTGGAGAATATCCAGTAGGAACACATCTGTCCTCACAGTAACTAATTTAGGATGTGACACTCTCTGTGGAAGAATCTTTGAAAATACTCCACAATCAGGCATTTCAAAACAGTCTGTAAGTTTGTGCTTGGCAGCATCTGATCAGTGCTGCACGGTCTTTACTGCAGGTGGCATGCTCTTTATCTGCTGTATATAAACAAGATGAAGGGGCACAGAGGTGTGGTCAAACTTTCCAAAGTGCAGACATGACATGGAGCAGTATGCCCACATAATGATGCGGAGTAGTGATACATGGTATTGTTGCCTCAAGTGGGAACAGAGAAGCATTGAAAGTACTTTGGTAGTACTATTTTAAGATTACAGTAAATAAATTCACTCGCCACGATAAGAGACAGCTTCCAGATGCACATTTTCATATTCACTGATGATGCTGTACAGCTTGCTTACTGCCACTTCAGCATGAGAATGTGGGTGAATGTACAGAGCGGTCACAATAACAGTCAAGAATTACCTTGGTAGTGAGCTATTCCAGATTAGAGGAACAACATCTTTAGAGAATTTCTACATCAGTGCACCAATGATTATTAATCCAGTGCGTTATACAGGAATGTTTGGTTTTAGCCCTGTTTTAAGTGAAAAGGAAGATGAAGCAGTCTGTCATGTTGCG